CAGATTTACAACAATTTGGGCCTTTCCTGCTATTTGTCCCAACAGTTTGATATGGCTATCACTTGCTTCGAAAGGGCGCTCATGTTCTCGGACTCGGACGACGTAACCGCCGATATCTGGTATAATATCGGCCATTTGGCCATCGGCTCCGGTGACAAACAGCTGGCCTCCCAGTGCTTTCGTTTGGCTTTGGTGTCTAATAACGATCACTCGGAAGCGTATAATAATTTAGGTGTTATTGAAATGAATAAAACAAATCCCACGACAACTAATATCCAACAATCAAAGGCTTATTTCCAAACGTCGGCCACTATTGGCAAACATTTGTAAGATTTTTATCTCATAAATAAATGGATGAGATCTCAGATCTGTTTGAGACAAACAGCTCAATGATTTCGGAATATATTTTTTACTCAATGATTGTTCAGGTTTTAGATGTTTAGACGTTTTAGACGTGTAAAGCGAGTGACAGTTCAAGCCATCGGTGCAAACAATAGACATTTATTTGAAAGTATAATGAATTTGACCATAAAATGAATTGAATCTTTATTACATTGAGTTATAGGTCTATAGTTTAGCTAATAATGCAAAACATAAAACTCTATCAATTGTTATAATTATGTGATTGTCAGCGCCTATGAGATCAGCAATAAATGTCGTACCAGTTGTCACCTTATTATTGAAACAATCGTTGAACCCAAACATGAATTAACACATATTTCAGTGTAGAGTCCAAACAAACTTATTATCTAATAACGAACCAAATTCAGCATTTTGTTTAATTATTTTGAATACCCTTATGAATTAAAACAAAATAACAAATATAACCCTAATTACTGTATATATAAATTAACATGTTTTATACATTCAATTACTGTATAAACTACAGTATTATATTGTAGTTAGTGACGCTATTTTGCAACTAGTTAACAACTAGAATAATGACTTTCAAATGATATTTTAATATATTGTTAATCAATCATTTTGTGCAGATATGAACCGCACTATAATCAGGCACTTCTGGCCGAGAAGATGGGTCACTACGACCTGAGCTTCATATACGTGAAGAAGTCACTGGAGCTCTACCCCGAACATTACGCCTCACAGGAATTGCTCAATAAAGTGAAAAAACTTTATGAAAATGTTTGAACAATGATTAAGATAACAACCAAAATAAATATCATTTAATGAAATCTTTTTCATGTGTAAAAATGATTTTTTATAAAAATGTAAAATAACTTTTTCGACTCCAATAAATCCGAAAAGAATTTGAATATAATGTATGGGATTTTCAATAGAAAAATATTATAGAATCTATATATTAGGCAAAAATAATCTGAATTTTTGCAAAGCCATACATGTCTGACCCATACCTCAGAAATGCATGCATTGTATGGTTTCTCGAATCGCATATTGAGATCGCATTCCGGGTTCTCTCTCTCTCTCTCTCTCTCTCTCTCTCTCTCT